CAGGATGTAATGGTCGCTGGAGATGATGGGGGGGAACGTCTGGTAGGAGACGGGGAGCTGTTGCATGGCGCATGCCTGGATCAGCTGTGGGGGAGAGAGACAAAAACGGGGGTCAGACACCCATCGTGGGCATGGCTGCACCCCTGCCCCCTCCCCAGGGCCTCCAGCAGACCCTGTGCCCCCAGAATGTTGCACTCCGGTGGGCTCGGGTACCCACGCGACCCCCGGGCACCCACAGCCCGGGTCCCCTGTGGGTGTCCCCCGCCGTGACTCACCGGGGGCGGGAGGCAGCAGAGCGGGTAGTGCTGTCCACTGAACATCACTGAGCATGCTGGGAGCTGCTGGGTGCTGCACCCAGGGATGTGCTGGCCGGCGTGGATGGGGAAGCCTTGCGTCGTGACGGTGGTAACCGTGTAGGAGAGAGGGACAGGTCCCTGGTGCACCTGAAGACAAAGCGCCGAGGGCACAGTCAGGGTACAGCCCCGGCTGAGCTGGCCCCGTCCTGGCAGGGTGGCAGCAGGGCGCTGGGACACAACCGCCCGGCACCTCCGTCCCACCAGTGCGGCCAGAGGAGGGGGACTGAGCACAGGCTGGGTTCAAGGAGGGGTTTTGGACCCCTCTTTTCTCCCTGCGGACAGGCTGGCACAGCCTCTGATCCAGCACCACCACCGTGGATGATGGTGACAGTTGTGATGTGAACAACGCTGTGACTGTCCCCAGCCCCCGGGGAGCAGGGACCACCCTGGGCACACCCAAGCTGGCAGGGGGACCCCAGGCTTTGAGTGCTCAGAGGACAAGAGCACCGGCAGCCTCAGGGCCGGGGGCTCCCAGCAGCAAGCAACCGGCCAGAGGGGACCCAGGGACATGTCTTGGGACCACTGCCCCAGACACTAGCCCAGGGCTACCATAGGGTCACCCTTAGGGTTGGGGCTGGGGGCTACAGCACCTACCTGGTCATGCAGATCCACCATGAATGGGTTCTGGTGGGGCGGGTGAGCGGCCGGGTGAAGCATTCGTGGCGGCGTGCTGGGGAGAGCGTAGGCGCGGGGCTCATCTACAGGGATGTGCGGCTGCTGGGGGAAGGCAGGGTGCAGCTGGGGCTCATCCTGGCCCAGCGGGGTTGCCAGAGGTCGGTCGCGTCGTCCCCACTGATGCCTGGCAGGGGGGCTGCGGGGCCACCGCGGGAGAGAAACAGAGCAGGAGTGACCCCCGGGCCAGGGGCACCACAGCCCCGGGCAGGGTGGCCGCAGGCGGGTCAGTGCTAGCCCGGCTCTCAGGGCATCGGGCCAGGCCAGGCTCCTCATCTGGCTGGGGAGCTCCAGAACCGGTTCCTCTGCTCACCCTGCATCTGCCCCCCGCACAAAAGGGACCCCTGCTCCCCAGGGACCCATCGGCCAGGCCAGGTGGACGTGCTTCCCTGCCGCGATCTGCCCCCCCGAGCCCCCGGGAGCCAGCGGCTTGCCCCAGCAGGGCTACAGAACCAGCCCCGCGTCCCCACGCACCACGGGCGACGGGGCTCCGCACTGCCCTGCACCCCGTACCTTCGCCGGAGGTGGTCGGGGCTGCTGCAGGGTCCCCCCGAGAAACGGTGCTGGTTAAAAGGGGCAGAGGGTGGCCGCCTATTCACTGCCAGTTCCCATGGTCGCATTGGTGACGTCGGGAGGCAAATGGGCGCACGGGACCTCAGGCTCCAGGCAGGGCGAGACACCAGCACCTTGGATCCTGCGAGAAGGACAGCGGGTCACAGCACCCCAAGCCCGGGGGCTCCAGGAGCCCCAAATCCTCCCTGCGTCCCAGGCCTGGGCAGCACTGCCCCAGCCCGCTCCCCCGCCGCCTGCTTTGGGAGAGGGAAGGGAGGAGAGGCACGGAGCGAGGCCAGGGCAGCCGCTGCACCCGCAGACACGCCGGGAGGGCTTGCAGCTCGCCTGGCTCCCGCCCATGCCCCCTCCACACCGGGAGCCAGGCCACCCTTCCCACACCCAGCCCTGCCACCCGCACCGCACAAGTGACTCTGAGCCACCCCAGCGCCGCTGTCCCCGCACAGCTCGGCCTGCTGCTCCCTCCCCGCGGGGATGGCGATGCCGATGACCGGAGCTCTTGCTGCTCCGGGACCTAAACCTGCGCCCACCCCATCTCCTGGGGCTGGATGCAGCCCTGGCAGGGGGGTCAGGAAGAGCCCACATCCCCCCCCAGTTACTGTCCCCCCACCGCGTGGCCAGAGCCACCCCCCCATGCAAGACACGGACACCGAATGAGAGAGAAGCACTTGTTTTTGGCACAGAGAAAACCAAGAAGCGAAGGGCCCTGTGGCTGCGGCAGGGTCCCAGGCCGCCCGCCGGCTGACGGGGAGCCTGAACCGTGGCGTGGGGGGGTTTCCAGCGCGTCCTTGGCCCAGACGGGCTCCGGTGCTGCTCTAGGGGCTGCTCTCTCTTGCTGGGCTCCTGCTGCCGCCCCAGTGACAGGCACGGGGGGCTGGCGGGGGGCCAGCGGGGCTCACGGCCCTGCTCTGGCTCGGTCTATGCCCGCCAACTCCCTGCTGCGCGGGGGACACGACCGCACGTCCCCGTGGAGGGGGGGACAGGCAGGGGCTGCGGCTGGAGCCGGGCAGGCGGCTCTGCTCGCCCCCCGCCCCCAGTGGCGTCCCCATGCCAGCCCCCCCAGCCTCAGCGAAGCTCGGCACTGCCCAGAGGAGACATCTGCATGCGGGACTGCGCTTCCCCAGGCTCCGTGGGTGCCCAGCGCCCCCCGAGAGGCCTCCCCCGGGCACCTTCCCTCGGCCTCCGCAGCCACGGCCAGCAAGCGGGAGCAGCCGTGGCCTCGACACCGCACCCCACGTGCCCCTAAATCCAGCTCGCCCGCAGGCTGGTGCTGTGCCCTCCAAAACAGCTCCTTCTTCAGCCCTCCCTCCTCCTCCTCGGTGCCCATGGCAGAGGAAGGGCACCCTGAGCCGGAGGAGCACCGCTCGGCCCCGGGAGGAGGCTGGGGGTCTCACCCTCCCAGGGAGAAGCTGCAATGTCACGCCTGGGTGACACCGACCTCGGCGGGAAGTCACCGGGGCGAGCCCTGTGCCACACACAGCTCTCCACCTCACCCCCATCCACCCTCCCATTTCGGAAGCTGAAAGCAAATTTCCCTCTCTGTTTTGGGGAGAAAAGGAAAAAAAAAAACCCAAAAGCCAGAGGCTGAGCCCCCCAGGAGCCCGCCTGTGGCTGCCAGCGGGGAAGGGGCCCGGGGGTTTTGCCCCACGGGTGTTTTATTCTGCCCCCGAGCCCCTGCCCAGGGTGGTGGGTGCCCCGCCAGCGGGCCGGGGGCCGGGGTGCGGCGGCGGGGGGCCCAGGTTTAACCCCCGCCCCAC